GCTAAATGATTATCATTTAGCAAAGCTAATTGGTACCAAATAGCCCAACTAACTGATACCAAATAGCTTTAGATGAGCTATTTGGTATCATTTGGAAGAGCTATTTGGTACCAATTAGCTTTGCCAAATGATATCATTTGGCTCCCGAACATTTTTCCATGGAACTTTTCTACGTAACATTTTTCCTCGGAACCCCTCAAATATTACGAAAAAATATATCTCATTCGATGTATTCGATCATTTTTCATTTACATGCAGATTAAATCAGTCAAATGGAGTAGTGAAATTTCCAAAAATAAAATGGGACATCCAACAATTCACAAGGTGATAGCGCAACTAATGTGGAGCGAAGGAAATTTGGAACAAGCTCGACATCATTTCTTGTTGTCGAAAGATGGTAGCGGGTGTGGTCAAATGCTAATTGAATTAAGTCAAACGAAAGGTTTTCCAAAAGAAGCGGATTTGTTCATAACACAGGTGGTATTACAGCAGTTATGCTTAAAAGAGATTTCATCAGCCGCCGAAACGTTTCACACTTACATTAAGTTTCATCCAAAAATTAGTCGAACGGATCCACCATTTGTGATGCCTTTGCTAAATTTCGTATTTTTTCTACTAAAAATCATCGGAAGCCGGAAATTAGCGATTTTCAAAAAACTCTGCGAACTATATAAACCATCTTTGGATCGTGATCCTTCATATGAAAAGTATTTGGAAAAACTTTTTTACTAACTAAAATTACTATTCGATTACTCTACTGATCCATTTTTTCCATTCTTTTCTTCTGATCAACTCCAGGTATTTGGAAAAAATTGGCGTTATATTTTTTGGTGCACCAAATCCACCACAACGCTCAAATAATGGCATTTTCGGTGATTTGATAAATCAATTGTTTCAAGGTCTCGAGGATGAAGATGACGAAAATCAAACTTGTTCATCAGTTGAGACGGATTTAGATTAGGACTCTATTTCTTTTAAATCCAGAAGAAAAAAGATACAAAAAAAATCAATTTTAATGTCAAAAACTCTGAATATACGCTCGATAATGAACGGGTTGACCATGAATATTGATCAGAGCAAGTTATATAAAATTATAGGGATGCGATCCACTTAAAATAAATTTATTAAAAATTAAAAAAGATCTGCTTATTTTTTCTCAGATTAAAGAACTAATTCCCAATTCTACCATCACAGCACTGCTATAGAAGGGCAAATCCACTAAAGCACAAATCAACGTTAAGATATTATATTTATTTGTTTTCAATGTGTTTGCTTAAAGCTATTAAAATAAGTGGAGACGCCAAACTCAAATTATACCTTTGGTAGAAAAAGAATGTAGAGGGAATTATGTGAAAGCTCAAAAGGCTGTTTATATTATTTTACATTAGTATATTGTATATCTGGAAAAGTAATGTTCCTGACGGAAGCTTTAAGACGATACTGAAGGGACTTTAAGCATTGAATTAGTAAATATTCTATTGACTGGCAATAAGTAACTTCCCATAGAACCTATGCAATGCATTTTGTGGTAATTCATGATCCTTGTGGTGACTAAAAATCGCGTATCTTTGCTCAAAATAATATTGGTTGTAGTAGTTAAAAATGTCGTTTTTTTTTGTAAAAATACAACATTATGCGTGTCATTACTTTGACAGTGACAATTAGTGTATCTTAAATAGCGTCAAACAACTATCAAATTCCATCTGTCAAAGTGAACACAAGTTTATACTCACAAGTTTTTTATTGCGTTCAAAATGTCGAATTTCGTTCCAACAAAAGATCATTTGCGGGAAGTTTTAATTTGCTTCTTCCATCTAAAGAAAAATGCAACTGAAGCACATCGTTTACTCACTGAAGCATATCCGGACTATGCTGTAGACATTAGAATGTGTCAGCGTTGGTTTGCACGATTTAAAAGTGGTGATTTTGACACGGAGGACAAAGAACGTCCTGGCCAGCCAAAAAAGTTTGAAGATGAAGAATTGGAGGCATTACTCGATGAAGATTCTGGTCAAACGCAAGAAGAACTTGCGAAATCGTTGGAAGTAAGTCAAAAAGCCATTTCCGATCGCCTAAAGGCTCTTGGATTCATTCAAAAGCAAGAAAATTGGGTACCACATGAATTGAAACCAAGAGACGTTGAAAGACGATTGTGCATGTCCGAAATGCTGCTTGAGCGCCACAAAAAGAAGTCGTTTTTGCATCGACTTGTTACCGGTGATGAAAAATGGATTCATTACGACAACCCGAAGCGCAAGAAATCATATGAATGGGTTAGGATAAAAGTGAGCTCAAATTTTCATATAAAAAAATCTGAATCATGAAATCGGTAAAAATAAATGACCAACTAAACTGAGATGAAAATAAAAGAGCAACATGATTCATGTTGGTCTTTTATTTTCACTCTAAACATGTTGGTCTTTTATTTTCACTCTAAACATGTTGGTCTTTTATTTTCACTCTAAACATGTTGAACTTTTATTTTTACGCTGCGCACGGTGGTGTTTCATTTTCAAAGCAAGTAAATTCCCGTTTTATTGGAAGTCCTATCAAGTTGGTATTTTATTTACATTTTTATCATGTTGAATTTTTATTTATTTCAGCGATCTCCCGTTAAAAAAATCGCTAAAAATGAAAAAAAAAAATATAATTTTTTTTTCTTCGATTTACAAATTCTATTCAATTTTCTGTATCATCTGGTGAAATCAGAATGAAAAAACTCGCATTCCTTATCATTGAAATCGTGATTGGCATTCGGTCACTATTCAATAGATGTTACATGGGAAGTTTATATGAAACTCTCGGAGACTCGGTATAGAGCACTCAAAAAGTGAAAAAAATCCAGATCGTGATTTGGGTGATAAGGAACGCGATTTTTTTCATTCTGATTTCACCAGGTGATACAGAAAGTTGAGAAGTATCTGAGAATTGGAGAAAAAAAAATTAATAATTTTTTTCATTTTTCACGTTTTTTTATCATTTACATGGGAAGCTTGTATGAAAGAGACACGGAAGACCGCTGAAATGGCAAATGCCAAATATATACGGACCTACGGCAGTGCCATTTCAGCGGTCTTCCGTGTTTTTCATACAATCCTCCCATATAGATGGTATAAAAAATCGCGAAAAAAGAAAAAATAATTAAATTTTTTTTCCTCAATTCTAAAATATTACTCAATTTTCTGTATCACCTGGTGAAATCAGAATGAAAAAAATCGCATTCCTTATCATCCAAATCACGATCTGTACTTTTTTCACTGTTTGAGTGCTCTATACCGAGTCTCCGAGAGTTTCATATAAACTTGCTATGTGATGCCTATTGAATAATAAGCGAATACCAATCGTGATTGAATCAATAGGCGTCATTTGGCTATTGCAAGGCGAGTTTATATGGAACTCTCGGAAACTCGGTAGAGAGCAAAAAAAGTGAAAAGAAAAAAAATGATTTTTTTTTAATTCTCGAACACCACTAAATGGTCTAAATCATGTGATAAAATAAAATGGGTTGAATAAAATAAAGTTTAGACGCCATATTTTGAGTGGTTATTGTTTATTTCTTTGTTATGAAGGCCTCCGCCACAAAAAAATGATAAAAAAGTTGACAATTTCATGAATTCTTAATCAATCCGTGAGATCAGCATCAGAATCGCAATTTTGACAAGTGTAGTAACTGCGTGTCATATGGACGCATTTCAAATGAAATAGCCGCTTGCAATTATTACATTCAATTGAGTTCGATTTGAATGGGGTAGAATAAAAACTACTTCTCGAATAATGTTTAAACACGAAACCAAAAAAAAAAACTTTCAATGAAAAGTGAATCAATTTTTTTTCGTCCAATTGAAGTGAACCAAAAAAAATTTGTTCAATAAAAGTGAACTCAAAAAAAAAATTCATTTTAGTGTATTTTACACTGAAAAAACCGAGTGAAATTTTTTTTT